AAATGCTTGCAATGTCTAACTTTAGAGATATCGACCATTCTCAAATTTCATGAAAAAAAAGTTGAGAGATCATTTTTTTCTGAGAGTACTTTCTTGTGTAAAGCCGATAACAAGCAAGTTTAAAACTCGTCTTGCTACGAGCGCGGGACATAGAAAAAATTCTGAGTTCCCGTGAGGAATAGAACCACTGAGTCACAGAGACTCTAAGATGAGCATCTCTGTAGCTCAGTGGCGGAGCATCGGGGGACAGAATCCGATGGGGACTCAGAATTTTTTCTTTGTCGAATGGCTTAAAGTAATATAATACTTCCATTCCTTTTTCCCACCACCAATATAAGGAAACCCTTATAACATTTCAGATTAAATATAGTTCTATTTTTATTGTTTAACACTATCAAAAAGAGTGAATCTTTTAGGTAAATCATGACGCATTAAGGGTGACCGAGAATTACCACATCCGACCGCCTCTCACCAAAATTAATTCAAGAGGCGCATTAGTGAATATGGGCTCCAGGTGGAAAGGAAGCAATGCTCTTCACTGAGTGACGCTGAAGTAATAGGTTATTTTTCAAAGCTAGAAAATCGCTCCACAATGCACATACGAGTATTAATCCCTGTTCATAAGGCTGTCAATAAGGGTGAAGCTTGCATGAGCAGGTGCTTGGTTCTCAAGGTTGGTTTTTGTATGCTCTGACAATTCACATGGACAACCGATTGGCAGCCAAAACACGCTATATATTGAACATCTTAAACGTACTCTACTGCTTTTTCCTTTTGGGAAAATTATCAGACTTTGTCTAAAACAATGAAAAGTGTTGGAGAAAATGTCATCAAAACAGTAGACGTAACTTCAGCTTTATTACGACCAAGTGTTTGTAAATATATCACATCGCGTGAGTTGTTCATGTGGGGTGGCAGGCGAGGACACAATTACGCTTTCGAATTTATATATTTGAGCTCTGATCAATATTTCGCAATAACTCTTCTCTTTGCAGTTCGAAATTTCGTTTTTACAAATACTGCATGGGTCGAGCTGGCGAGAAAAAGGCATAGCGAAGTAAAGGAATATACTGACACAGGAAAAGGTAACTATTAGATTTTAATATTGATTGGAGCCCATAATATGGGGCAGTTTTGGATTTTTGTGTCGAACGGGAGCAAAACTAGTAGTTTTGCTGTTTCGATTTGTTGTACGCAGTCTAATTACTCCTGTAGTACTGTAAAAGCTTTGCTCATTGACCAAGTTATAAGATGTAGGGCAATGCAGACGGAACGATGCAGTTGATTCAAGATGTTTTGGAAAAACATTTAAGAAAATGCAATACCCGAATGGAAATAAAATTAGAACATATCAGTCAAGAGTTTGAGTTATTGGCAGTGAAATTGCATGATTTGGTAAGTGTATGTCATTTGAAGATAATGGCAAGAAAATAAACGTTTCTGGATAAAAAGTTATTGAGTTTGGCCGGCAGTAGAATAGATCTCAAAACTGAGTACTTTCAGCCCTTTTTTGCGAAAAAAACCAACAAAATTCAACAAACAATACGCGTCACTCTGACTCTTATTAGTATTAAAGCAAACCAAGACCATTGACATGAAACGAGTTGGTTTCGTCTTGTGTTTTCCTCTCTCTTGAGATATTTGAAGGGAAAGTATTGCCGTATTCGAGGGAATAATTATATCTTGGCTTATTTTTGCCCGAAGTAAGGCCATTTAAACTACAGTATACAAAATAACTTGAGGCTGCCTCTTGTTTGTTTGTAGTTAAAAATCTACCTGTGACTCATGGCGGAAACTGGGATTGTTATGACGACAATCTTCTTCATACTTGTCTCGGTGGATATCGTGGGGAATTCTCTCGTTTGTGCGATAATATGGAAAAATAGAAATCTCAGGTATGTTAGAGAGTTGCAAGCAGTAGAACCTCTCCTTTAAGGTACCTCTAGTTGATGGACACCTCTCCTCTGTGCTTCGTACGGTCTGAACAGACCGATTATTCTTAAAGCTGCAAAAAGAGTAAGCAAGTATAATATAAAGCGGAAGCGCATGAGAGTTTATCTAAAACAAAATGTAAAAGATAACCCATTTTTTCAGCTTGGTAATGGAATAGTAAAAGATATTTTGTCGTCTTCTCACGAGCTGGGGAAAAGGAGTATATCAGATGATCTGAGTCCGTCAGAGTATTCCAACCTCTGTCTCCCGGCGGTTGAGCACCAGCGCGCTAAAAGACTAAGGTTCTCTACCATACGAAGACTATAATAATTAAACTAGCAGGAAGCCAACTTAATGAAACGAACTCGATACCTTTTTGTCATTACTAGTTATTATTTCTTTGCGTATTTTCATCGCCATAGGACCCCCAGTCATATTCTACTTTTTAACCTTGCTGTGGCGGATGGTCTCTTTGCGTTGTCGATTGTACCAAAACTTATTGTGGACCTCAATTCAAAGCACCCCGAGGGGACGGGTGGTTCAGTTTTGTGCCTGTTGATAACTGGTGGAGCCTTCGCGTGGGTTGCAGCACTGTGTGCCATTTATACTCTGGTTGCGATTGCCGTTGAAAGATACTATGCAGTCACTGATCCGTACGGCAAGAAAAGGAATTTCACTAGGAGAAAACTGAAGGTTCGTTCTGATTCAGTTTTTATGCATTGAAAGTTACGATGGAAACATTAAACAACTCTCTCACAACAAAACTTCGTGCACTAACATAGGCGAGTAAGCAAATTTTTTGGCGTTGGCGTCAGTGAAGTCTCAAATATTTTTTAAAAACTTACTGTGCGTGGTCTAATAAGAGCAATGATCAGTGCGAAGATCGTACTGGCGGACTTGTATCAGCCCAAGGTTGGCGTCCAAAGTCTTGACAGGAAGAACCGAGAAAGATCATCAAACACTACATGGCTAAGTTTGGTTTGATTGTAACTTCTTAACCCAAATATTCCCTGGAATCTAGATCACTTTCATGAGCACAACGGCTAGAAATAGCCTTAAGCGAAGTAGACTTCACTAAATGTGATTGCTGCCAACGTTTCATAACCTGTGGATTTTTTTTTCTAAGTTGCATCATGCGCCCATTCTTTGTACTCACCGTAATTAGATAGTATACATCGAAAGCCGTATGAACAAGGGCACATTTCGGAATTATTAACAAGTCCCATGGGTGCAGGCCCAGAAACATACAGAATATACGGGCAGCTCGTGCAGTTAGTAATGGTAAAAGGACTGAGAGGAGTCCAATTCGGTCTGTAATCATACGAGTGATTGACGAAATCGGACAACCGCGAGGTGGGACTCCGATATGTTAATTAAGAGTATGATTACCGACAGAATTGGACGACACTAAGTCCTGTTACCGATAAATCAAGACTATGAAAAAATTTGACAAAAGACAACCGTCGTTTATACGCTTACATAAAATACCAACAACAACAACAGTAAATTCGGAGAAATGCGCCGCAACAGTACGCGCATGTGCACAGAACACGTGCTGTCAATTACAGAGGCATGACGCGTGTACACTGTCCAATTGCAAGTATGAAGCGTTCATTGTCCTATTTATAACCAGTCACGTTCCAGAATTTATGATGGTTTTGATTATTATTATCATTGTCATTGACACAGTCACTGTTAGTGTCCCTGACATTATCATAATCACTGATCTTCATCGTTATTATTATTATTATTGATATAATTATAATTATCATTAATACTATTGATTTTTATTCGAACTCCCAAGTTTCGACATTTCATTGCAGGTAATGATAGCAGCTTTCTGGATATTTGCCGTAATAGCATCCATCCCCAACAGCATGTACATGAAGGTCAATAATGGCTACTGCTATGAAACGTTTCCTAAAGAATGGACTATCAAGGCTAATTGTCTATGGTACACCACCCAAGTATATGTTGCCTTGTTTCTGATGGTCATGTTATACTCCAGAGTCGTGCGCACGTTATGGTTTGAGTCAAATATTGTTGCCAGCCCTGTGACATCTCAGCGAAGGGTAGGTACCCTTACAAAGTCGTACAGTTTTCTTTTGCTTCTGTTTTTTTTTTTAGCTTCCTTTTCTTTTCTAATTTGAAATCTTCAAGTTTCACTTACGACAAAACTGTTTCGTAGCTAGTATGACGCAAGTGTATGACGCTAGTATGACGCAATTCGAAGTTTGTACAGGGTTGAACATGGCTCTACGAAAGGGAGACAGACAGTAGCTAACATCTTGTACTTTAAGACCGAGACTTTTTAGCGTGATACTCAAACAGTTTGCTTAGTAAATTTAAAAGCAATTTGATAATTTTCTAGGACGATTTTAAACACCGCGGGATACCTGCCCATGGATACTTTTTCGCAAGTATTTTACAAGTTTTTAAATTCAAAAGAGTATTTTTTTTTTTTTGGCGTTAGTTGTCGTTGACGCTGTTTCTTCCTTTTTCGCTTTGCCTTTTGTTTATATGTTGTCTTTTTTTATATTAATTTGGCATTTATTCGTTTCTGTTTGTTGTTGTTTTTTTTTTTTGGCCAAGAGTAGCGGCAAGATTGTTAGATATTACCTTATTCATTCAAGTTTGTTCTGTTTACACGATTTAAGATAGACCAAATGAACACCCAGTTCTTCTTAACAAACATTTTTGGCCCAAAAGATTACCTGGACGACTTTTGCGTTGACAAAAAGTGAAAAAAGGAGGTTCGTCGATTTTATTTTCTTCGTGTTGACTTTCTCTAAACAGGCGTGCGCCCAAATTTCCTAGCACGTGTTTCCGTTGAATTTATCGCAAACTGCCTCATATCATAACAATTTTTGTCTAAAAAAAGTAAAAGAGGATTCTAACAATCTTTAAAATCCTGTACTGGGGCGGTTTGTCCTCGTTCTTTTCAACTAACCTCAGTTGGCGCTTTGACGATAGCGTCCGACGATGGAGAAAGAAAAGTAGAACAACTTCTCTGAATTATTTTGTTAAATGCAGATAAAACAAAATATCGCGGTATTTTAAACATTTAGAAAGTTTTTGTCTCGATAGTTTTCTTTTAAGTATTTAGTAAATTTCCATTTTTAAAACACTTTCCAATCTTCAGGGTGTAATGAGAGTCCGCAAGCGAGTCACCCTAATGGCTGTGGTTGTCAGTATCATATTTGGAATCTGCTGGGGCGCAACCAATATTCTTTACATCTTGCATACTTTCAAGGTTTTTCGGTTCAATAAAGTCGTAATCGCAATTGGCAACATTCTGGTATTGTTTAATTCTACTATTAATCCCTTTGTGTATGCTCTGCTCAGCGAAAACTTCAGACAGAAATTAAAAGAAATGGTCCGATTCCCAAGGGCTACTGTTGGTGCCACAACGGAGCTTCATAACATTGAGGTCCACATTGCAAGAGATAAATCCAACATCCCTGATGTTTCGATCAATACAACAACATGCGTGAGCCAGGAGTAAAAAAAAAAGAACTTTTTTCAAGCGATCATTTAATTAAATAACACGTTATAAGTAGGCTTGAAAAACTGGCACTTAGCATAGAAATTGTTGTTGTTGTTTTTTTTTTGCGAGAAGCTGTACAGATACAGTTCAATTTAGGAATAGAGATGACGAGATAAAATAATTGGACTATTGTTTTCTATTGATATGACTGTTTCACTTCATATTAATCAACGCGAGAATAAAAGGGAATGTCGTGCAATAATAGATGTGTTACCCCATTAAAGGATGTGTACAAGTTGAACAATACATATCAAAATAAATGTGCTTTCACTGAATACCTTGCATTGAATATGTCATTTTGGCTGTTACAAACGCGTTGCAATTAAGTTTACTACGGACAGTATTTAAGATGCAAGTCGAGCCGTAGAATTGTGGGAATAGCATGCTTTATCAGAGTTGAACAGGATGCAGAAACCTGACGAGATTGCGCTCAACCTTGTACTCGTCAATGCATTTGAGAAACAAATATAAGGTTTTGGGATTTTGGTCATCTGGTCGAAAAGTGGCCATATTTATTCTAAGCAGGAGTGCGATAGTTAATCAGACCACTCCAAAACTTGATCCTTTAAGGAGGGTAAGCCTATCTTGATACAAATCTACAAAGAGTTGACCTCTTCTCACGAGCGAGTGGAATTACCCTCTTACTTGCCAGGATAACCCTCCCTTCATGAAAACCATCACTTGAAAATACCAGATTTGTTATTTTACATTATCTCCATCTCCCCGATTAGTTAACCAAAAACCTCACGTTAAAGCGTACTTATAATAAACGTGAGCAAGTTAAAATGAGCCTTTTGGGTCAGCGTATACGTAGAAGGTAGCTTACACGATAACGGTAAGCCAATTATATCAGGAATGTTTGAGAAAGGCATCCTAAGCTCTCCTTATTAATGAGAGACACCTACGAGCTCTAGTCAACTGGGGAGTCTACAAAAGAATTATCCATCCTTCTAATTAACGTCATCGACGTAGGAATAAAAGGTTTATAAATCTAAGGTAAGGGAATTTATATATTGCTTTCTTAACATCTCAAATCTTTAAACCTGAAACGGTGGTATGTGTTCATTCCTTGTCATATACGTGATATTCATGCGGCCTTCAAAGCGTTCGTGAACAGCAGCTCGTAAGAACACTAGTTTTTATCGAATTGTTAGCCAAGAGGACAGGCACAAAGATGAATGTTGCTGGGAGTGGTGCAAAATAATTGAACGACCAATCTACTGGTCTTCACCGTTATCTCTTACAGATCGCGAATTTCGCGGTAGTGGTTGAAAAGTAAATCTCAGGTGTACCGGCAGTCACGCTTAAGATAGTGGCTGTTACTTTTAGGCTTAATAACTTATAACCTGCGAGAAGAGCAACATTTACCATCTTTCTGGCCATCCTCCAATAATCTTCAATAACTTATGTCGTATATCTAATGGGGTCAGGGGCCATCTCGGTTATTAGAATAGTCAATTGTCTGTTGTCGCATTACTTTTTTTTAGCGCAATGTCTATTTGGCCATTAAGCCACTTCACTTCTTGAACAGAGCTTTCGTTGCTAGACGTAAACAGGATGTTGTTACGAATCAACGCCAAAAAAAAGTTCCCTTTGTGTCACTTCAGCCGTCTTCTAAAACAGAGCTGACCTATTCGCAAGATTCTGCTTGATTAGTTGCTGTGATTATCGTGACGGGAGGTGATCGGTTGGAATGGTCGGTAGAAATAAAAAAAAAATTAATGTGCAGCAGTTAAGGTAAGGATCTTCCTGATCGAGCAATCTCTCTTTGTGAAATGACGTTGTGTTGCGATATATTGAATTAAGGGGATGTTTCACTAGGTAACTAGTAGGTCAGTCGATGGGATGTTAGTGCTGTTGTCAACAGTCAGTTACAAAAAAAAGCTATTACAAAGAAAACTTTCGATTTTCTTATCCGTTGCTCTTTTTCCGTTTTTTCGATAAAAGTAGGGCCAGCCTTCAGGCCTTTAAAGACTCATAGTATGCGTCCTTAAAAGGAAAAAGGTAATCACAATGCTGAGCTCCAGCGAATGGAGCAAGTTGCCAAATGTAATAGGAAAGGTAATCATTCGGGACATTCAGAATTACCATATATGGCTTGGATTTTATCCATAAGAAACCGTAAATTTAACCAGCTGTTCCTCAATGTAAGATGAAATGCAAACTTTTTTCAGTGGTATATATCCCATGCGTGTCATAAAATGTTAATTAATGAAGCAGACTTTTTGGAATTGCCAAAATGCAACTTATAGGCGACAACTAACAGCGGACAGATATCTGCGCCCCGCAAACTTCTTCGTCACAATAAGTTATTGTTTCCAAAACACTTCTACTAATTTAAACGCTGTGATCAACATTAAAATTCAAAGGAGTGCGTGTCAGCGAAAATTCATGCGGGGACAATTTTTTTGTCGCAGGGACAACGACTGTAACGTAAATTTAAATGTTCCTACCGTGAGCCTGGCTGAACCAAATAACTTCAACACGTTTCGTCGCAGCTACTTGTAGAGTTCAAGCTGTGCTTTGAGAGATAAAATTCACTAAAAAAGCCAGCTGATCGATTAAGTAAACATGTCAAAGTTCATATTGAAATTTCCTAAATTGCTGCCTCGAGGAGGAATTCGAAACTTTTCAACAATAGTTACTTTTTCAAAATAGCAGCTGTTTCTTCGCCTAAAGAACTTGAATTTCCATGCATTCAGTCGCTCTGTTATCACTTGTAAAGAAAACAATGCTTTCAATCAACGACAGCCAACGAAACCATTTTGCGTATTCGTGTCGACAATGACGTCTGAAAGTATGGCTTAGGGGGCCTAAAGCAACGTGTTTTAAGATGATTCAAATGACGTGATCAAAGTTGTTAAGAAGGAGTTAAACTCGAAAAAATGATCTCAAGATAAGTGTTTTACTTTTCAATCGAAATCTTAGTTTCTGAACCAATACCATGTACCCACTGCAAAAGATTAAAAAATTCCATGGAGGTTCCCGCTGCGCAATATTTGTGATATCTACCGACTGTCAGATTGTAAGGTTGTTACAGCAAGATTCAGGTGGCAGGATTCAGAGTTTATCACCGTAACTTCCTCTCCCTTCGCCTTTAAAGCTCAACTGTGACCAGGTGAAACTTTAGGTTGCATGGCGTAAGTAAAAAACCTTGAAATCTTGTTCACCTTTAGGAGCCTGGTTGTGATTGATAATATTATATTTAATTTTGAATTTATTGTTGACGCATGCAATGATTGATCATGATAGTGAACCACAAACAGAGATGGGTGTCTTTCTTTCTAAGGCCTGTCGTTCTGTTTGGAACTCTGTGTTTGATCGGCTAATCGACTTGATTTCGATTTCGAAAGATTAAAAACTAAATAACTCCATTATTTATTTCCACGTTTTGGCACAGTTAGCCCAAGCTTGTTATGACGCAAAGGGATTTGTGGAAGAGAACCAACCCGTTGTATTAAAAGACCACAACAATGTCCGAGATTAGCCTTAAGTAAAGTGACTGACGTCGCTGCAGTTTTAAGTTCCTGTATAGGATTTACAGGAAAAATAGGAGCTCCGAACTAACCCCGAGACTCGCTGTTAATCGTCCCAAAAACCATAACGGAAATAGGAAAAAAACGATAGGTATGAAGTCAGGTTATTATGTTATTGTATAACATACATTTTGGGTTTTTCCGATTAAAAACATGCAAACGTTTTTCACGTATCGTCTCCACATGCACGTGTTACTTTGTGTTTCGTTGAGCTTTCTGCTAGAATCGAGTTACGTAACTAAGGAATTGGAATTGATTGGAATCAGCTTGGGCTACCTGTGCCAAAACGTGTAAATAAATAACGGAGTTGTGACGGACTTTTAAGCGAAATCAAGTTGATTAACAGATCAAAGACAGAGTTCCAAACAGAACGACAGGCCCTAGAAAGAAAGACACCCATCTCTGTTTGTGGTTCACCAAAATGATAAGTCAATGCATGCGTCAACAATAAATTCAAAATTAAATATAATATTACCAATCACAACCAGGCTCCTAAAGGTGAACAAGATTTCAAGGTTTTTACTTACGCGATGCAACCTAAAATTTCACCTGGTCACAGTTGAGCTTTAAAGGCGAAGGGAGAGGAAGTTACGGTGATAAACTCTGAATCCTGCTACCTGAATCTTGCTGTAACAACCTTACAATCTGACAGTCGGTGGATATCATAAATATTGCGCAGCGGGAACCTCCATGGAATTTTTTTTAATCTTTTGCCGTGGGTACATGGTATTGGTTCAGGAACTAAGATTTCGATTGAAAAGTAAAACACTTATCTTAAGATCATTTTTTCGAGTTTAACTCCTTCTTAACAACTTTGAACATGTCATTTGAATCATCTTAAAACACCTTGCTTTAGGCCCCCTAAGCCATACTTTCAGACGTCATTGTCGACACGAATACGCAAAATGGTTTCGTTGGCTGTCGTTAATTGAAAGCATTGTTTTCTTTACAAGTGATAACAGAGCGACTGAATGCATGGAAATTC